CACAAAACCTAAGCCAAAGACAAAAAGCCTTTGGGAATCCTCTTTGAAAGGAGCTGGCAGCCAGGAGGAAGAAAATATTTGCCACTGCAGTTAGAACACATTTGTTTGACTGCATTGAGGTTTTATCATCCACCAAAAGCCCCTGTTTGATTTAGCTGTTGTGTTTTGTGGCACAAAGCAAGGTCTGTCCACACTCTGCGGGCCAGCCCTCCTGCCCGGAGCCTCACTCCACCAGCACAGCGTAAACTTGCATTCACGGTGCAACCCACGGAACACCTTGGCTGTGCTGGCAGGAAAAATGAGCTGGTGTCAAATGAGTTCCAACCACAAGAAATTAGACAGGAAGAACTTGCCCATCCACACTGGGTAATACGGTGACCATTTCTGTATATCTCTGGAACAAAGAGCAAGAGTTATTTGAAATTGCATTTTCCTGCTTTCCTGAAAATATCAACATTCCATTTCATCTAACCTTTAGCAGTGCATTATGAAACCCAACCTTGGCACTGAAGACGTAAAACTCTATTATAGGGGCACAAGGGTGGCTCACTCGGTTGAGCGTGAGACTCTTGATTTCTGTTCCAGTCATGATCTCTCGGGCCATGATCCCCTGGGTTGTGACACTGAGCCCCTTTCTGGAGCTCCCCATTAGTGGGCAGTCTGCTTGAAGGTTCTCTTCCTCTCCCCCTCCCACCGCTGAAGCTCACTGGCTTTCTCTTCCAAATAAATAAATCTTTTAAAAAATGTTATAAATAAATAAATAAATAAATAAATAAATAAATAAATAAATAAATAAAAGAAACTATGATATTTATGTGATTTTAGCCTTTGTGGGAAGATTCTGGAAATCATTTATCTTTGCATCACCTGGAGGTTAGCACAGAGCCTTGGATGCAGTCTCTGTTGAAAGGTTTATTTGTTGAATGAATGAATTTACAAAATACTCTAGTAATATAGTAAAGAGACATTTCAAGATTAAAGTGAAGACAGTGAAGGTTAATGTTATATATTGATCAAATTCATTTTAGAATCAGCATAACATAGTTAAGTGTGATTTGTGTAAGTATCAGCATGAGCACCCAACCAAGTTTTATGCCTGTACCTACCTGGCTATCTGTTCTTCCTTAATCATTTTAGTTTTTCTATAAACAATCAGAAATAAAAAAAAAAAACCAATCAGAAATGGCCAGCTCTCTGCATTTTTTTTAGAAGATGGTACTTCACTGTTCATTTTATTACAGAACAGAATTTTATTTTAAAAGTAGGCAATAAAATATATCTTTTTCAAAGGAAATTAAAAATCAACATTGGCTTACGGCTGTGTTCAAGAAACTTATTTTTGTGTGTGCTTCTATAGCTTATAAATAAGTTAGCGTGCGATGGTAAAATAGCAAATTCAGATGAATTAATGCAGACAGCCTTAACTATAACTGCTGCAGGTGTAAGAAACCTTCAGTGGTACAAAAATAATCGTGTTTTCCTCCCTCCTCCTCCATCCCTCCCTCCCTCCCTCCCTTCCTTCCTCTCTTCCTCTCTCTATCTCTCTTTCTTCCTTCTCTTTCTTTCTGTTTTGTACTGAGGGATTTATGGAGGGAACATTAATCCAGAAGTTGTTCTCTTCCTATTGTAATTCATGGCAGCATATAAAATCCTGCTTAAAATAGTAGTTTGTGGAGAGATCATTCCCAGTGCGTGTTTGGAAGAGTGTGTCATCCTTTCAGGTTTCCACATGTGCGTAGATCCCTGCAGTAGAATGTAGAAAAACAAAGATAAAAAGCTAAAGTTATGGAAATACCATAACTGAAGCATGCTGATGATTGCAGATGGCAAGACTGACAGCACATCCAAATGGACAGGGCAAGGCATCCAGTTGAGACGAAACGAGTTCTTTGGCATAAAACCCAGAAGAACAGAACGTGTACGCAATCCTGCACACATGCACACGCAGAGGCAACGGAAGCACCTGGATAGGACCAAGACCAAAGCACTTTTTGTAAATACACGTGGCTAAGAGCCTCACCTCATTGAGGAAGGATTGGCATCTGCGACTAGCACCACCTTGGAGTTCTAACTGGACAGTTAAATAAAAAACAATGACTTTTTGTTGGTCTTTGAACATACATTTAAACTTATCCTTTAGTAAACGTGAATTTAGTTGTTCTGTACAAAACTGTTATAAAATTTCTAAATCTGACAAAGAATAAAAACTAAAGTCTAGGTGTACGGTTAAAAAAGGACACCCATTCTAGTAGGATCCAACTGAAACTTTAGTCAAGACTCTTGCACCCAACGTGGGGAAGCCAGTTACCCAGTGCCCGCTGGTGGTTCTGCATGTGCCATTTTTTGCAAAGCAGTATCTACATCCATCTACATCACTGACATCCCTAGGATTTTCCTCCTTCTCCTGGCTCTCGATCATTGCCCTGCCTTGGGCTCAGGTCTTCTTGTCTTTCATTTGTTATAATATAATAGGAATTCCCATAAGCTTGAAGATCTCTGGTATCTCCAACTCAAATCTATGCTTAAGTTCCTTTCTCATGTTCCCTGACAGTCTCCCATATTTTTGCTCATTGTGGACATTTCTCTTCATCACTCAAGAGCCACTCTTTCATATCTTCTTGTTATTTCTTCTAACAGATACTCAGCTTTTCAGTGAAGAGGAAGAAACATGAATGCATATTAAAAAATACATGAGTTTGAATACTAACTTTTCTCCTTACTGACTATGAAACTATGATATGCTTCCTCAGTTTTCTTACAGGTAAAATGAAGATAATACCTACGCTACAATCTGGTTTCAAAATTAAATTAGAAAGCGGATTATATAGTGGTCCTGTGCTGGTACTGGATAGAGAGAAATTTCCAAGTAAATGCTAGTTTCTTTATCGCAGAAGCATCCTACCCACACGATATTTTGTTGACCCTGGGCTGAATTAGTTACATGAATCCCATTTATTACTCATTGTGAGAGAAAGGAAAAAGACCCAAAACACAGGAGTATGGTTTGTCAACTACGTTGGTGGTCATCCTTTGATACAACAACAAAGGAGGACTGTGTGCTGTAGATCAGCTCTGAGAGGAGACTTTAGGGAATATTGTGATTACGGAAGAATTAGGGAATTCTTATAAAGGATGAATTTACCTTGGCGTTAAGAAGAATTGTAACCAAGGAAATAGACTCAAGAGAACATTGGTAAATTCTTAACCCTATATAGGAAGATCATATTCTATTCCTTAAAATGCTCTCTGGGTTAGATGAGAAGCAGGCAGTGGGTAGTTTAAAAGTAATATAGCACAAGATTACATTTTTATAAATTGTTTTAGAGATTGGCATTACTGTCACCTGTCCTCTTTTATATCTGTGATATTGTGATTTATAAACTAGAAATATATGTTTGGTCTTCATTTTCCTTTCTGGCACAGGGCCCCTGAAACCCTTGAAATTTCCTAAGTGATGAGAGTGACAAATGTGCCCTTGGTTATGTTAATGTGGTAACTTTTGGAATGTGCCTGGGTCACCTAAAGATAGGGGGATGGTGGCCAGAAAAGCCAACCATATAATTAGAGGATTGGAACTTTCAGGTCCCGCCCTGCTTTGGGGAGGTGAGAGACACTGGAAGTTGAATCAATCTCCAGTAGCCAGTGATTTAATCAATCATGCCTTTCTTTGTAATGAAGCTTCCATAAAAACCTAAAAGACAACAGTAAAATGTTCTCTTGCATTAAATTGAAGACATCTAAAAAAAAAATGAAGACATCAGTTTAATAAAAGAAAGAAGAAAGAAAGAAAGAAAGAAAGAAAGAAAGAAAGAAAGAAAGAAAGAAAATGTAGGAAAGGTACTTAGAGCTGTTAGTTTCTAAGTACACAACACCCTAGACAATTCAAGGCATCTTAATCTCCATCAAGAACAAAAAATAATAATAATTTTTGTCATGCTGTTAAATCCATCATTAAAATAGAATAGAGCATCTTTCATATGGTAGGAACCAAAAAGGAAACTTTCCTTTAATTCCCTTTTTACACTTTATGGTAAGCAGCAGGGGGAAAAATGCATTTATAGATCATTTCTAGGCAAAAGTGTGAAGCTAACGACCAACCTATTTCTACCTATGTGCCGTCTCTTTATTTTACTAGAAATGGGAATCATGGCCTCTTGAAAAGAAAAAAAAGTCACCATTCTGCATTTAGCTGTATTCATATTTTGAATTTCTGTATTTTTTTGTTTGTATTGTAAAAAATTCACATAATAAACAATGTTGTGATAAAAAAAAAACCTAAAAGACGATGTTTGGAGCTTCTGGGGTTGGTGAGGGGTATGCTGGGAGAACGGCATAGTCAGAGAGGGCATGGAAGTTTCCTATATGGTGCCCTTTGCATCTTTTCTGTCCGGATGTTCTTGAGTTATATCCTTTTATAATAAACCTGGAATCTGGTAAGTAAAATGTTTTACTGAGTTCTGTGAGCTGCTCTAGCAGAGGAATTGAACCCAAGAAGGGGGTTGTAGGAACCTCCAGCCTATAGATGGTTGCTCAGAAGCACAGGTGATGACCTGGAATTGTGACTGGTGGTCTGAAGTGTGTGTGAGAAGGTGAAGGATGCGGGGAGCAGACTTGTAGGACTGAACCCCGAACCTGTGGGCCCCGATGCTATCTACAGGTAGATAGTGTTGTAATTTTTTTATTTTTATTTTGAACTTTTTTAATAAATTTATTTTTTATTGGTGTTCAATTTGCCAAGATAGTGTTGTAATTGAGTTGAATTGTAAGACACTTTACTGGTGTTCAACAATTGTTTGGTGGTATGGGATATAGGAAACCATCCCACCTACACACACACACACACACACACACACACACACACACACTTTGGAATTGAAGCGAGGCATTTAGTATTTCTGTCTAGAACAAAATAAAACAAAAATATTGCTATTTCTCCAAAGATGAGATATTGGTAAACACTAATATATCCTCTCACATTATATTCACTAATGGTTTTTCTTTTTTTTTTTTTAATTTCTTTTTTTTAAATTTTTATTTATTTATTTATGATAGTCACAGAGAGAGAGAGGCAGAGACACAGGCAGAGGGAGAAGCAGGCTCCATGCATCAGGAGCCCGACGTGGGATTCGATCCCGGGTCTCCAGGATCGCGCCCTGGGCCAAAGGCAGGCGCCAAACCGCTGCGCCACCCAGGGATCCCCTCACTAATGGTTTTTCTTGGAGAGCTAACCAACTGCGTCTATGCCATAATAAAATATTTGAAATATAAAGATAAATTTCTCCAATATTTTCTTTCACTTTTTGGCCTTTCATGGACTCAATAGCTAGATATGCATTGCCTCAAGGAAAAAGTAAAGCAACAGAAAGATCTTAACATTGAATTTTTTGGCTGGCTGTTGAGTTTACAAAGCAGAGACCGTAGACAGAAACTGATGGGACTCGTGAAACCAAATATACAATAGACTCTGGAGAGTACATGATGTAAGTGCAGCGCGTATCACCAGGTATGGACAGGGTGGACAGGGAGGGACAAAGAGAAACTAAGAGGCGGACATTGATACTGTGGGTCTTTGAGAAAGGAGGGGTGCCTGTACCTCGTGCAAGTGTTGGCTGATTTCCCAGATCAGGGCAAAAATATCCCAGAAAGGGTCTGGAGGAGTCTAACCATAGAGACTTTGGTTGCTCCCTTCCCAGGTGGAGCTCTGTGCACAAGAAGACTCTGGACAGGAAATGGCTCAGTGTACAGGAAGACCCAGGACAGGAGTGGCTCAGTGTACAGGAAGACCCTGGGCAGGAAGTGGCTCCAGGATGTGTCCAGGGTCTTGATCACCTCATGGAGTTCCCAGTGGCCTGAGTGTTAAAGATCAGTGAAATAAAATGTGTATCAACAATGGCCTTGGGTAGCACCATACCCAAGCTTACCATGGCTCTTAGGGCATGCGGGAGCAGACGATTTTCATGCTTTCATGCAGAAGATTTGAGCAGCAGGCAGAGTAGGCTCTAGAGCCACCAAGGGGAGCATAAACAAGAAATGACTCAGTAGGAACTCTTGTGGGTTCCCGAGGAACAGATGCAAATGCAATCAATCTGAGGGATGTTCTTCCCCCCACTGCCTGGACACTGGAGAAAACTTAGCTTTAACTTCAGGGAAAAGGGAGCACCCCAGGTTGACTGAGATTCAGATGCTGTTAGGAAGACAGGTAACTAGGGGCACCTGGGGGGCTCAGTCAGTTAAGTGTCTGCCTTCAGCTCAGGTCATGATCCCAGGGCCCTGGGATGGAGCCCCGCATGTGGCTCCCTGCTCAGCAGGGGGCCTGTTCTTCCCTCCCTCTGCCTGCCACTCCCCCTGCTTGTGCTCTCTCTCTGTTAGATAGATAGATAGATGATAGATAGATAGATAGATAGATAGATAGATAGATAGATAGTTAGATAGATAGAGGAAGACAGGTGGCTTACATTAGATTTACATTGGATTGGAGAAAAATAGAAGTTTTTTTTCTTTGCACACTTTGAGAGCTGAAATAGTTACCTGAAATTCTGTATAACCTCTATAAAAGAATTATCTGGAAAATATTCCTTTTATAAATATAAGCATTAGGTTCATTTGATGGCTGACTTTATTTCTGGACATTCCAGGTTGAATTGGAGTGACCTCACCACAGATTTAAAAGGTGTAAGCAGGCGTAGTGTTGTTCTGTGTAACCTTGGGCAAGTTTCCTAACCTTATTATTGGTTCCCTAATAATCTACAAAATGGGAATATCAATGATTCCTAGTTCATAAGATTGTGGGGAAGATTAAATTAGCTATCATACAAAGCGTGTGCATAGTGACTAGGATATTTTAAGAGCTCACTAAAAGTTAGCCAAAATAAATACCTTAAATATGATTTTAAGAATGTGATTTTGAGAAGAGGTGCCTATGAAGAAAGATATTTAGGGTTTAAAGTTAAAACCTCATGAAGTTGACTTAGGATCTATGGGTGCATTTAATAACGTTGGTGATTTGCACGGCCCATAGTACCTAACATGAACGAGAGTCATATATGTACAGTTACATCAAATATTTATAGTGTTTTCTCCCATCTCCGATGCTTTTCCAACATTTTGACTTATCGTCAATTAATATTCACAGCTTCTTTTTCATGCACAGTTCAATATTTTCAATACTTTTTATGTGCATTAATAGAAAATTTTTAAAAAGTGTCAATATGTTCTCGGCAGCTAGAATTTCAGGATGCACACGTGAAAAAAGGTGATTGTAATGCATTATGGGATTTGGGATAAAAAGTAGAACTGGTGTCAGTCCACCTTCGCACTATCCCGCCATATATCCCTCTTTGTCTCTGTCTTGTCTCTCTGTCTCCCTCACAGTCCAGCCACACTAGTCTTATTTCAATCACTCAATCAAGGTATTCTTACCCCTGACCCCAGGGGTCAGGGTCAAGAATTTGCACTTGCTTGTTGTTCCCAAGTCTTTGCCTTTCCTTACCACTCTAGCTAAGTAGCTCTTCTCAACCTCCCACTTACACTGTTTCCTGTCTTATAGTCCGTGTAGTTCTTATTACTAGCTGAAATTACCCTGTGTATTTGTTCAGCCTCCTCCTACCCCCTGTGCATCCCCAGGATGTTAGTCTCTGGAGATCAAGGACGTGGCTATCTCCCTGACCTAAGCAGTGCCTGCCTCAAGTCTTCATCCTGGCTGAACGGCAGAGGGGGTGAGAAATGATACACATTCAGTGTCCATCATCCTTCAACAAAATCATTACTGATATCAGAGATAAATGAAAATATAACCTGTCTTTCTCCAGGGAATTTTGGAGAATAAGAGGACATTTAATTCTCCGACAAGGAGATGAGTAAAAACACTATCCATACCTACAGGAACCGGCAGGAAAAAGATCCTGGCTGCATACTGGGCGAGAGGAAGCGACACCAAACATCCACTGATGTGATTTGTTTGGTAGGTATTTTTATTTATTTTTAAATTTTTTTTTTGGTATGTAATTTTATTTTATTTATTTTATTTTATTTTTATTTTAATTAATTAATTAATTAATTAATTAACTTATTTATTTTTGGTATGTATTTTTAAATAGACAAAACTTTGTTCTTCAGGAGAAGCGAAGAAGCCAGAGGTGGCACCTCAAACCTATCTGATACCTACCCTTCCCCCACTTCCCAACCCGGGTGGGTTGGGTTAATGCTCCTCATCTGTCCTAACACAATGGATGGGAATATTTTCACGGTTACTCTGTCTGTAGTGCATAACCCGGGAGTCCTGTTCTCTCCTGCATCCGTCCTAGACACCCAGCCCTGTCTCTTATACACATTTGCCTTCCTAGAGTCAAACACGAGGCCTGAGCGAAGCAGAGAACTGGCAGTTGTTCCCTGACAATTCCTTTGTGCAACAGAAAAGGGACCGCCTGTGCGTGAGGGACTGTGGCAATTGCAGAGAATAACCCTGCAAAGAAGAGAGGCCGTGGTTCCTATACCCACGGGGTGACGAGAGTGCGTCCTGAACACAGGCTAAACTTGTTTAACAGGGATAGTGATAACATGGACAAAGTCACAGTTCATCTCCGACTGTTAGATTAGCAATAAGTAGTTCTGGCAAAGGAGCTGGAGGAGAGTGAGAAGAAGGGCCTCTGTCTGATTGCAGAGACCAACATTATCCTGGACGAGACCATCATTTCTAACAGATTTTGGTTAACCCTAGATATCAAGTAGGAATTTTAAGTTATAGTGTGACACCTCTTACAGCTAACTGTGTAGTGTCAAACGAAGCAATATGACTAATGTTATCAGAAAATTATTTTCTCGAAGTGTAAAAATTCTGCTGCTGTTTTCTGAAATAGCAGAAGGTTCTAAATAACTCCAGGGAAAGATGTGGCCCATAGAAAAAACACTACCAGAAAGAAAAGGCAAAACTGCAGTGTCATTTGAGAGCTACCTAGAGCCCTTCTCTTCTCTTATACGTCTTTCCTGTATTTGCCAAGAAGCAGACCACCCTATTAGTCTAACACAGGGCTTTAATTATACCTAAGTGTTTTATTATTCGTGAATTCATTTAACAAATATTTACTGAAGACCTACTTTGTGCCTGACACTATTCTACACTCTAGGAATAACAGAAACAGTGGAAGGAAGGCAGACAATGCCAGTGAGCATAGAAGTGATAAAGACAATTTTATTTTATTTTTTATTTTTTAATTTTTTTGATAAAGACAATTTTAAATAATAAAACAATATTGGAAAATAAAACAAGGTGGTAGGAGATGGGAGCTACTTCAGATGGGATGGTCAAGAACATCTCTTTGACATGAGGATTTAAGAAAGGAATAGTCTATGTAGTTGAAAAGTTAGGGAAATAGGAGAAAAATCAATATGTGTGTAAGAATGAGCTACCTACGGTAGTGGTATGTTTACGTAAGAAAAGGTCAGCATAGATTTCCCTAACAGTCTTAGCACATCTATTCAAGGAAGAATGGCACTGCCCCAAATATAGTAAGCTAACAATTGCCCCGGAATTCCTCATGTGATCAATTCTTATAAGTGCTACACTGATTATTAACAATATTCCAAAGTTGTATTTACCAGAATTTTGCAGTAATGGTGTTTGGATCGTGTATCATAACCAGCGTTACCATCCCCCTTGGGGGAAATTTCCTAGGGTTTGATTTGTCGTCTTCTATTAGTAAAATGATGGACAATAAAAGAAGAAAGCAAGGCAGCTCCATACTAACTAAATAATGTATGTGTGTCTGATGTTGCTAGGTCAGATACTTGCATAGGTCAAGAAATTAGTTTCTCAAAAAATGTTTACTGGTTTTATTTTACAGGCAAGGTGCTATCCTACGTACTGAGAGTAGAAGCCCGCCTTCAACCGTCTTGCAGTCTACTTGGAGCAGCGAATGCGCACTTGCACATGCACACACACATACCTTGCAACGCAATTGTGTGTAATTAATAACGCACCAGCAATGTCTCTAGAAAATGTATAGATAGAACAAGTAATTTATACAGATTTATATTGTCCAAGCACCATTCTCATGGAGAATTACTTTTCTGGTTTTCCTATTCTATGGACTAAACTTTTGTCTAAAATTGTAGCAACTGAGGCCCATCTATTTCAGGGATGGATCTATAACTGGAGGAGTTAACATAAAGATTAATAAATAAATGAATAAACAAATTGATTCAAAAAGATTAATTATGACTCTCATATTGTGAAATCAAATTTATACAGTTTACCAAACAACTCACTTAGGCAACAGATACATATAGGCAGTGTGGTCTTGATGGTAACAAACAATACATCCTCACCCCAACTTGATGACGTCCATAGCTCATGGTGGTCAAAGGCCATTTTCTCTGTTCTGATATTGGGAGAAGCATTTTCTTTTAGATCTTTGATTCTGACTATTTTTCTACATTATTTCATCTCCTGTGCTCGGTGTATCACACACAGCGTGGCGGGTAAGACCATAGACATGGGAGTTAGACCAGCTGGGTTTGAATACGGCTGTCCTCACTGTGTAGTTGTGGGACTGTTGCTAAACCTATAAGCTTTCGTTTACATACATTCCATGAAGTTAACATTATAATAAAGTTGCTTATTATACTGTAATGGGATGAATGGTAGTCTCCAAGAAAAGAAAATACTTCCACATCCTAATCTCTGGAACCTATGAATATTACTTTATTTGGAAAAAAGGATCCTTGCGGATGTAATTAAACTAAGGATCTTGAGATGGATCATCTTGGGTTGGACCCTCAATCCAATGGCAAGTGTGCTTATAAAACATGGAAGAAAGATCCAAACAGTAGAGGAGAAAGTGATGCGAAGAAAAAGGCAGAGGTAGCAGTAAGGTGGCCACAACCCATGGAAGCCATGGAAAGTGGCAGCCAGCAGGAGCTGAAAGAGGCAGGGAGGATCTCCCTGGAGTCTCCCGTCCTGCTGGGAGTACAGCCTATGGAAATCTTGACTGCATATTCCTGGGCTCCAGAATTGTAAGAAAATAAATTTCCGGGTGTTTAAGCCATGTGGCTTGTGACCATTTGTTACCCAGACTGAGGAAACTTCTATGAGTACCTGCATCAGAAATTTATTGTGGGGATCCCTGGGTGGCTCAGTGGTTGGTACCTGAGGCGTGATCCTGGATACCTGGGATCGAGTCCCACATTGGGCTCTCTGCATGGAGCCTGCTTCTTCCTCTGCTTGTGTCTCTGCCTCTCTCTCTCTCTCTCTGTGTGTCTCTCATGAATAAATAAATAAAATCTTAAAAAAAAGAAGAAATTTGTTGTGAGGATATAAACCATGGTACAATGCCTGAACTCACTGAGTTCAATTTGACTGTCATTGTTATTGGAACAATCACTTTCTGTAGTGAGGTCTGTTGTTTTTCGTGCCTGGCACTCATTCTTCTAACTTCTTAACGTCACCTTGACTTTCTTTTGGGGGAACTACTGATTTTTCATCTTGAATGAATGATAACATGGACACAAAATGATTGATGCCAGTTCACCTACGTGTCCTAGAGTGACTTCATTTTCTCTTGCCATCACACCTCAAGATATCCCATTTCTTGACTTTTACTCCATTTGCTGAGTTGCCCCAGACATAGACTTTTTTTCTCAAGTTAAACTTGTGTGCGGTATATATAGGTAGTTACTGGAAAGTATGTAAGCAGCGAGCGCCACATGGTCAGAGCTAAGTAAAATAAGGCTATTAATATTATTTCTGGTCTTGCTCTCCAACTAATTTTGAGTCTAGTTTTTAAATTGCTTATTAGATATTTCCACTTGGCTGTTTTGAGATGGTTTCACTCTCAGTACGTGTGAAATACAGCTATCTTCCTCAAAAGCTCTATTTTTAGATTCTCCTTTCCTGATAATTACATTAATTTTTTTCTTCTTCAAGTTCTCTTTTAGCCATCTTTAACTTATTTCTATCTGTCATGACTAATAACGTATTAAGGCCACACAATATTACTCAAAATTCTTCAACATCTTTCCCTTTTTTTCTCTCAATACTCAGTCTAGTTCTGATTTCCAATCTTTCGTAGTGAGATTAAGATAAATACTTAGCTGAATGAAAGATTTTTCCCATGCTTTACTTCCCGCTCTTCAGACTCCTGAAGAGAATTCTTTATTAAATAGTATTTTCATTCATGATATTTTTCTACTAAAAATAATAATTCCACTTATCTAACAGTACATGACAAAATAATGGATCTAACAGTTATAGAGTGGACCATTTGTAGTTATTAACAATAATTAACAATTATATATTAACAATATATATATGAGGTAAAAACAGAAGGTACAAAACTGTGTTGGGAATATGATCTCAATTTTGTTAAGTCCTGGCACTCATCTAGGAAAAGGCCAATGAAATATGTTCAAATGAAAATAACAGTTATCTTTCACTAATATCAATTAATTTGATTTCCTTGTTATTTTCCCTCTGACTTCTCTACAGTGGGTGTGTAAAGTTTTATAATTAGAAGTAGGACTATTATAAATTTAAGGCACATAGTTAATGGCTATTCATACTACGTAATAAAATTGGACATAAAAAGTTTTCTAATATCTATCATTTCAAAGTTCCTTTGAATTTGGCAGCAATGATGAAGCTTATCTAAAACACGAGAACCAGAATTGAGTATAGTGGAACTGCATAAAATTTAAACTATACCTAACTTGAACCAGGACTTTGACAATTATTTTACATGTTGCTTTTGCAGATTTTTTTTAAAATACAAAGTCTTTTTTTTTTTAATTTTTATTTATTTATGATAGTCACACAGAATGAGAGAGAGAGGCAGAGACATAGGCAGGCTCCATGCACCGGGAGCCTGACGTGGGACTCGATCCCGGGTCTCCAGGATCGTGCCCTGGGCCAAAGGCAGGCGCTAAACCGCTGCGCCACCCAGGGATCCCTAAAATACAAAGTCTTTATTAAATTTTTAAGATGAGATTCTGGAAAATCGTTGGCTTGCAACAGTCCTGAGCATGGGATTGTTTCTCAGTATGTCAAGTTGTAGTGAACAAAAATTCACAAGTCATGATAATCTCATGTGCAACACATCAGTGGGCTGATTCTCTGAAAGTAGTCAGTTGGTTTAGCAAATAATTGTTCAGTCAATCTCATTCTGAAACTCCTGTTGAAGCAAATGTCCTGAAAACATATTCGATTATGCACTTTGATATGTGAAACATTTCCGTCCTTTAAAGCTTTCCTTGAGCTAATGACACATTTTGATTGAATTTTGTGGCAACATGCAGAGATTAATTGATAGCATTAACCAAGTTTTCAGGCGCACTATATAGTTTGAACAGCCAGTGTTTATAGGATACTTGCCAGAGTGGAACTTATCTAACACTCTTTGCCTCCCCATCATCCCCAGATTTCTGTAGATCTATGTGGTTGATGAAAGACCTTCCAGACACAACTCAAAATATGACAAAATTGACACAAGTCAGCCAACTGGTGCTATTAGTCCTTGGTCAGAGATATTGGGGCCCAGATGGTCACGTGACCCAATCCTCCCCCATCAGAGTCAATCTGGGGATGGTTCAACAGTGCATGTTGCAGCAGACATAGCACCTAGAATCACAGCAAGCATTAGAAAACAATTTATGTTCAGTTTTTGCTTTCTTTGTAGTCTCCCTAATAAGCTAGTTTGTTAAAAATTATTGTATTAGCACTTACAATTGTCACAGTATAATACTGTACTTTGGGGTCACATTTACATCTTTGCAATTCACTGCAAAATCAGGAAACATTTGGGATGACATATCAAATCCAGCTTATTAGAAAAGAAATCCTCTCTTGGAAACAATAAAGATCCTTCTTAACTGGAAAAAAAATTCAATTTCTATCTTTCAATTTCTTTGCTCTTATCTTCCCTCTTTTCCCCCCTCCTTCCATTAGCATGGTACTAGAGACTCCATAAGCAAAGAGTCATAATTATTGGTTCAGATAGTCCTTAATTATTTTGCCAACCATGTCCTGAGGAATATGAGAGAGCAGACAAACAGAAGAGGGGAGCCTATGGCTGGGGCAGCATCACTGCCCAGCAGAATATGAAAGAAATAGAAAGTAGGGTCTCTCGAAGATGGCAAAGCAATACTCAACAGTTCTTGTTCTGGATGATTTAGCTAACCAGTTCCTCTTTTAGATTTCTAAGCCGTAAGATTGATTAAATCCATTAATATGCAGCTCATAACAGCTATATCCTAGGAATGTGGGGGAAAATTACAGTAGGAGTGCAAGTCTAAGGATATAGAAAAATTTCTACAACCTGGGACACTTGGTTTGTTGAGGACCTGGGAGAGAAAGCATCAAAATAGCAGGAGATCTTCAGAAAGAGGGGAGTAAATAAATATCAAGAGCCAAGAGGCAGGAATTGGTACAAGCACCAAGCAGCTAATTGCGAGTAACTTCTCAGGTAAGTCAAGGGAAGGGCTCTGCCTTTCATAGGGTGAAAGAGTTATCATCATTGGGTCACTAGGCTGTTAAGTGATTTGGGTGTGAGAAGCAAGGACATTGTAGAGTCGCTTGTCACAGTAATACTGTTTGTAACCTTCACGGTGAAGAGGGACAAATATCCCCATAGCTTGTTATAATAAAAGAGATTCAGAAGCAGCTGTGCCCTCTTCAGGCTCTGGGATGAAAGGGTCTGATAGAAAACACTGGAGCAAGTCACATTAACTCACCTGAATGGGGGTGGGGGAGCCTTTGGGGTTGTCTGGGGGAAGGGCCCATGGGAAAGAGGCTTCTTGAAGTTAGAGAAAAAAAAAAAAAAAGAAAGAATATAGGATTCTGGCTATGGTGGGAAAACAAAGGAAAATGGACACAATAGCTGAGGGTAAATAAGAGATTGTTCCAGGAGAGCAGCAGGAAGAAGATGGCTCATGAAGATAGAGAGCACTTCATGAGAGGGGGCTTTGTCTGAGTCCTAGGATGAAAAGCAGAGGAGGGAAAGCACCACAGAATTGAATGCTGGGAAAAGCAAAGGAAATGAGAATAATAGGTCTTCTGTAGATGGGACCCAGGCCCGGGACAGGAGGGGGGCGGGGGCGGCCACCAGGCCCAAGTGGAGGGTGAAGCTTCATGCCTGAGGAGTGGAAAGAAAATGAAACTTCAGACAATTGAACCTAAAATTTTACAAAGATGGAGCTAATGCAGCTTAAAGTAGA